TTTGCTAATTGAGTAATTTGAATTTTTTGCCAAATAAATTGTAGAACAAGGATTTCAAGCTTTTCCAGCACAAAGTGCTGCAGAACAAACTTCAGGCTGGAAATCCTCGTGCACCTTTGGCTAAAAGAATCAAGACTGGCATGTGTAAATGTATTTCAGAAAATATCCAGAAAGTTATTTTGCAGTGTTCCCCTCTGTGAAGGCTGAACAAGGCTAACGGAGTGCTACAGTTTTACTCTGGAATAAATTACTGTTGTTTGCTATGCAAATCTTATGATTGTAATTAGGCTAGGATTTCAACTGCTGTGTACACTGATCTTTGTTCCCTCTGCGCATGGGAGCTAATTCTAATGCTGCAAAACAGCACAGTAAATGCCAAGGTCTGCTCAGCCTCTGATCATTTCTCACAGGCTGCATTTGCTCCAAGTGGACAACTGAAAAGAAATTATTTACTTCTGCCTTCACAGGGGACGTGATTGCATCTTGTGGGCCACTGAAACTCTCAGGTACTGTAAAGTCTCACTTGAAAGCAGGGGTTGGAGAAAACGCAGGGAGGAGGTCCTGATAGACATCTAGTTTTTAGCAAACTGGTTTTAAAAAACAAAGTTCTGCTGCTGGCTGGTTAAGGATCTGGTGGCATGTGAGCTATCAGGACAGTGATTGCAGTTCCTAGTATGGCTATGTATAGCTCCCGTTATCTGTGCAGCAGGGCTCTGTGTGACCGCAGCCCGTGGCTCCTTGCCCACACTAATGAGCTCTCCCCGAGGCCGGGCTTGTGCCTGTGGGGGTGGCACAGGGCTCCAACCGTGCTGCTGTTTTGGAAACCAGTTTGTTGACTGTGCTCAAGTCCAGCTTGCCCAAGGTGCCGTGCCAGCTTGGCTACTGTTGGCTGTGGGAGCTTGTCCCAGTGCAGCGTGGCTGGCCCCAGAGCTGTCTGGAGGACGAGGCAGGCTGGCAGCTGAGGCTGTCAGGCTGTGTAGGCTGCAGCAAGGAGAACTCTCACCTAGACCTGGACTGGGGTGAAGCACCAGCATGGTGAGGCCAGTACAGGTGAGCCACACTCACAGTCCGTTCTCCTCCCTGGGAATACAGCCTCCAGTGTCCAGTCAGCTCGTGTGGTGGGAGTGCATCCTGCGGGCAGCGGTTCTCAGTTTTGTGATGACCCAAAGAGCAGGGGAAAGCCAGGGGTTGGCTGCTGTCAGCCATGCCTCCCAATATGTGGGAGATGTGGAGCAGAGGCACTCAGGTGCGGGGCTGTCAGGGACATGTACCCTTCTCTTAGCCCCTCCAGCAGTGCTTGGCAGGGGTGAACACCTTGTCCTTGCGACTGAGGTGGTGGGTGCACACCCGTAACCTGGTCAGAGCCTGCACCTGCTCCAAGGCTGGGCTCTTCTGTGTGCCTGCCGTCCCACTGCTGCAGGGAGGCTCAGCAAAATAAAAATCTTAACAGCTACAAGATCTATTAACTTGGGCAGTTTCACCTACAGAAAGACAAAAAGGCATTATTTGGAATTTTTTCAGAATCATTGCAAGAACAGAGGAAGAATGAAGAAGTACTCTCTAGGGAACAATACAGCATTGTTTTTCTAAGGATGTAGTAAATGACACAATCTGGTTTTTAACAGCTTGTAACTCCTGTAAATCTTGTTTATTTCTTTTTGTTGCCTACTCATATAAGTCACAACAAAGCAGAGGAATAGTGGTGGTTTTACTTTTTCTTGCCTGCTTGCACGTGACCTCGAATCCATTAATTTTGTTTGTGTATATAAAATTTAAGGGATAAAGGAAACTTAAAAAGCATCGAGTTACTAAGGTGCCTAGCAAAAAGCAGAAGAAATCTTCTTTGCAGAAAGTGATTTTTCTGACCAAGTGTTTTTCATTTCTAGTGCTATGATGACAAAGTGTATGTTGTTTCCATAGCTGGATGCACCCTATTTCAGAACAGGTTAGAGTGTTCTGAAGCTGTTGTTAAAAAAAATATATTTCACTTAATTAGCCAAGTTAAAAAGTGGCATAAAATCTGTGTGAGCTTTACAAACTCTGTGCTGCGGCTCTATGCACATTCCTTTGCCAGTGGCATCTGTAATGTAGTATTGAAACACACAGGATCATGACTTGGTCTGTAATTATCTTTGAGGAAGAATGTGAACTTGACAGTTCTGCACTGTTAGTTTTGGGGAAAGAAGTTACAAAGTTCTCAGTTTCCTTCAGTAGCCCCTAAAATTATTCTATTTGCAGTGCTCCAATCCTGTTTTTCTGGTACATCTGGCAATCTTTAGAATGCACTAAATTTGCAGTCAGGGTGCTAACATGTTGGTGTGGGGTCAGAAATATTGTGTAGTGAATGTAATTCTAGTATGCCTGTTATTTAATAAGTCATTCTTATCTTCATGATCCATATAATGAAACATAGAAAACCTTAGAACTAGTGTTGGACAGCTCTGGATATTTCACAGAATTGCTGAATATTCTTTGTTGGAAGGGACCCACAAATGTGATAAGTCAAATTCTTAAGTGTACAGGGACTGAACCCACAGCCTTGGTGTTGTTAGCACCAGGCTCTAACCAACTGAGCCAATCTCATATTTCAAGGTGCTGGGCAGCTATGCCAGGTCAGAATCCCAGGCCATGCTAGCAAGGTGTTTAATAGCGCTTCCAGCTCTGCAGTAGTTTTGTGAAGGGCTAGCTGATGTCTTTGTGCTGCTGCTGAGGTGTGCTGCCTTGGCAGCTGTCTGTGGGGCTGCTCAGCTTGGAGACCCTTACTCAACTCCCAGTTAGATGCAAAGCAGTTCCTGATTTTAGAAGAGAGCCTCTCTACTACCCATGTGTAAATAATTTCAGACCTTTTGTCTTGGGTCTGGAGGACCAAGGAGGGTTAGCTAATGGAGCACTACTGCAGAATTTGGAAGCTGATTCAAGGGATACCCTTTTCCCCTGCTTTCCCTTTCCAGCCTTCCTGGGAGATGCCCACCCTGGAGCCTTGGAGGTGGGCACTGCCTTGGGGCAGCTAGACGGTTTGCTCAGGAGCTTGCTAGTGATGAATCACAGAGGTATGGCATGGATTGATAAGGTCGTGTACTTTATGATTAGACACATCCTTCCTCTAACAGGAGTTCTTTGTCTCCATTTTGCTTTTGGTAACGTGTTTCGGCTGCTTGCATACAATGACTCTCCAAGCAGGAGCTGTTTGACTTGAGACAAAGTCACTATTATTCCAAGCAAGCTCAGGAAGCTCTCATAATTTTGTTGCACTCGGAAGGGTAAATTTATTTAAAAGACAGTTAAGTTAAATCACCAAGGAAATATTTTTATTTTCTTGCAGCCTGTCTGTAAAGGACTTTTGGGTACGTAAACAAATGTATAACATGAAAAATCTACCTGGCAGCTATATTGTTGGGCTTTTTGTGCATTTTAAGTGATGGCTGTAGGGGGCATGTTCTTTATCTGTAGCACTAGCAAAAATAAGTAATATTTTTCAGCTATTCACAGTGCAGGTGTGCAGGCTGGGAGCCATGGAAGAAGAAAACGTCCATGGTCCACAAATTATTGAGAAATACTTACTATTGTAATGCCTGCAGCCAGACCAACACACAAGTCTATCTATTTCCTCAGCTGGAGTTGATGGAGAGCCCAAAGAGCTAGGTAGGAATGGAATACTTTAGGCTTATCTGGGGAGATTTTGGACTAGACTCTCAAGGTGCATGATTTAGTCAAGCAGCTGCTTATGTTTACAGACATAAATCTTTTTGAGATACCCTGAATATGACATTTCTGGTGCTACTGTCCTTTTTCAAAGACTATCTCTGATGTCTCTCCAGGCAGTATCTCCTGAGCCCTTTATGCTCCTTGGCTACAAGCCCCTGTCTGTGGTGAAGCCTCACCTTTCCAGCCCCAATCTCTGCTGCAGTGCTCCCTTGGGCTCTCCTGGCTGTTCTGGCTCCCCTCCTCTGCTCTGTATTGTCACTTACTGAATAGACTTGCTCAGCAGAGTTTTCAGAAGGAAAACAAAACGAGGTAGTCATGGATGACCAATATCAGCTTTTCTTTTTAACTCAGTCATAAAGCACTGTTGGCTCACTGTTTCTACTGTCTATAAAAAGGTTTTGTGCAAGAAGTCCCCTTTTTCCCATCGCCCTGTGTGACACCAGTGCTGAGCTGACCTTCTGCTAGAAAGGCTCATTGCTCAGTTTTGTCACTGCTCTGTATGAGTTTCCCTGGCAACCAGTGAGCTGCACTGAACCAAAAATATCTTGCCAGGGGAAAGTCAGTTTGCAGACATGTATTTCTCTTTAATGAGTTCTCTGGATGGTCTGTGTGTTCAGCCTGCAGATGTCATTATTGGGAACCGACAGCTGAGAGATGCAGTGTGGCCCTTTTCCTTACTTCCACAGGCAGAGCAGCCTATGAGGAGGCTGCCCCTTCATGACTGTCAACTGAGCTGGGGCTGTAGGACTCATCATGCTAATTTCTCATGGTACCCTGAAAGTCTTGTCTTCTACTGAGAATGGTCTGTGCAGCAGACACAAAGTCTTTCTTGGATTCCTTGGATCTCTGCAAATTTCAGAATTTCATAGTCACAGAATGGGTAAGGTTAAAAGGGACCAACCTTACCTAGGTTATTGCTAACAACTTTGTCCACATTTCTGTACAAATATATGCATCTTTACAACTAGGCGCGCAATGAAGTCTGTTTTTGCTCCCATCCTAGTCTCTAAAGGCACAGTTTGCGACACCTCCAAATAAGCATATGTATAAATCTTTGGAGGTCAAGACCCACCAATTTCCTCAGGAGAGAATTCACAAGCAGGAGGTGTTATTTTAAACCTTCCTTGTTTAGGTTTGATATGCAGATAATATTTTCACTACCTTATGTAGAACACTCATGTGAAGAAAAGCATTTGTAATTCCAGATGTGTTCTCAAGATGACAAAATTAGAAGAGACTAAATTGGAAAGCAGTATGTCATTTTTAGTAACAGGTTCCCTTTTCTGGATTTGTAGGGTGTGAGGATTGCGGTAAAAGCCTTATAGGAGAATGCAAACTCCACGGACCACTCATCAGGGCTAAAGATAGGGTTATTCCCAGCCGAGCCCGCCTCACCCTACCTCACTACCTCACTTTGCGAGTGTTGGAGCTGAGAGCTGGAAACCAGCAGAGTAAGTATTTTAGCTCTTTTTCCCACATTTGAGAAGAAGGAGACAAAAACACTGGCCTGTTTTCATGAGTAACTCAAGGCATAATCATTGGGCATTACCATTATGAAGACTGCTTTCAGCAGGGCACAGCTAAAGCTCAAAGTCAGCTACTGTTTTTAATGACTGACTTCTGGTAGTAGACGCATAAACTGATGGCAGGACATTAGCCAGAGCTGGTGTGACATTTAGCTGTGAACAACCAGTTAGCTCTGTTCAGTCAATCCAAGTTTAATGAATGTTGAATTTGTATCTAATAAAAACAACCATGCACTACTACTGTTTTTGTCTTTTCCCCAAGCATGCAAAACAGGAAAGAGTATTCAATGAAAGGTCAGAAACAAAATGGTAAATGACATCCCTTATCCACCCCCTGCAAAGTCAGAAGATCACAGTGGGGTAATTTAACTTTTGCAGCGTTTTCAGTTCGTATTATAGAAAGACTGCTGTTTCCTTGTGAAAGCAAAGCAATTTGAATGCCCAAACATGAACAAAGGAATGATGTTCTTAGTGTGCAAATTTTCCACAGCTACCTGTATAAAATTAGTCCTGACTAAATTGCTTCAGACAGAGAATTACAAGATGCCTATTACTCCATTGATCTGGCAGTGGAATAACTGGAATGATTAAGAAGGCTAATACTGTATTTTTATAGATTCTCTCCACTCTTATTGGGAGATAACAACCACCCAAATTATGCCAAAAGGCAGAGGACTACGATGACATCAGTTTGTAGATTGAGTAGTACCAACATGTTTGTGTTGCATACTCAGTTTAACATCCAGTCATGGACTTTTGGTACTTTTTTATTCAATGTAGTTCCCATTAAAAAAAAAAAACCAAAACCAGTACCTATTTACACCCTTTTTAGATTCTTCACCTTAGAATTATTTAATGGGCTTATTTGTCTAGAAAAAGAATCCATGTGTTCTGCACAATTTTGTTTATCTCCATTTTCACAACTGTAAGCATACAAGAAATAGTTTGTGATGTCTGTACTAATATTAGACTTCTCTTTGTTTTCTTCACAGTCCTTGGTGTATTTGCAAAGAAAGTAATACAGAAGAGAACACAATTTGGCCCTTATGTTGGTCAACTGTCTACAAAACTGACCTGCTATGATGAGAGCAGACTAGTCCTGCAGGTAAAAGTCCACTGCCTTTCTGTGGAGTGTATATGTGTCTTTAGCAGCTCATACTTATTTATGTATTTTAATCAGTCAATTTGCCATCTGATCTAGTTCATTATTTGTACTTTTGATGTGTAAGTATCATTAGGCAGTACAGCATAAACTGAAATACCCAAATGTTCCTGTATACTGTGTTTTCTAGAAGTTTGGTTTCCTGCTTTCTAGTTTTACCATTTCCAGGGTGTTAGGCCTATCAGTCTGATAGCTCTTGATAATCTTTTCTGGGAACATGGCTACTGAACTTTCTTCCCAGGTAACACAAAAGGATATGTGCTTTGCATCATACCGCTGGGAGGTTTGAGTTTTTGCACTGAGTTAGTGAGAGCAACAGAAATATACACTAAGGCACTGGCTTAGTAGGGAGAAACAGATAGGGAAGAACTTCTTAATTAATTTTAAATGTTATTGTTATTAATTAATAATTGCTAATTTATATATAGACTTTGATACACAGTGCGCTACCTCAGTTTATTTAATCAGATTGTTATTTAGGGCTGGTACCTTCTGTTGCTGCACACATAGGTACTGACTGTTTCACCTGGACCATGACACTATTATTTGTTCTTTATCCAGCAAAAAATTGTTGCCTCTCAGGACTAGCCCAGCTTAGACAAATCTGCATTGACATCCTTTCCCACAGGAATTCTTGGGAGTTGCAGTTAATCACAATCCTCTGGGCACCAGTCATTGCATTTTGCTGTCAGGATCGTGGCTGAGCAAAGCTCTGTGTCATACAGAGAATCCATGGTCAAGCCACAGCCTCTGTCAGGACTTCCCAACAGCTCATGGTTCCTCCAGAGTTTGCATTTCCTATCAGGCCCTCTCAGTCCCAAACAGAGAGACAGCAGCAGCAGCTGTCCTGTGACACACTCAGTGTCTTCATTTGAGCTTTCTCCAGAAGCCTGGGACTGGAAAACACTGTGTTGTGTGGAAATACTTCTGAACTTGAGTTTGAAAGCTTTAAAGTAGTAATAGCTTCAGTAGTTGCTATAGACCTGATTTGCACATGGAAATCACAGGAATCATCTGCCAGGAAAATAACACTAGCCTTCTAATGGATTTTCACAGCATGTGGACACCAGAAAAGGTTTGTTCCTCTCTGTAACTAAATATCTTCAGTCTTTTGATTAGACACTATCAAAAATGCAGAAAATGTACTTCTCTAACAATGGATGGATGAGCTAAGCACCCAGTTCCTTCCTCTTCACCAAGCCATTGTAAACCACACCCTATCCTCTATCAGTCAGCACCATTTGCTTAAAAGTATACAGTGATAAGCACAGCTCTGGCTGATGAATGGACTGTTTCTTCAGAAGAGGAGATTAGAGTCCCAGATTTCCTACGTGACAGCAGTAGCTGCCTTGACTTCTCCCTAGCATGAGTATGTGACCAAACTTGTCCAACAGGCAGGTGCTTTCATCGGAAACATGATGAAGTTAGATAAAATCGTTCCCAGAAGCAATGAAAATGCAACATTTTTTTTTGCAGTTACTTGCTCAGTTATGTGGTTGGTAGAACAAATATAAGCTGTGCTGGTATCAGTTGTGCAGTTTTGTCTGTCCATGTTCGAGAAACTATTGCAGAAAAGTAACTGTCTTGTTTGAGGTCAGTAGTTTTTGCCTCATAGGGGCATTCTCTTGGAGGGGAATCTAGGAAGAATGAATTAAAGGAAAAAAGAAAAAATATCTTTCTGGCACAACTGTTCATTTGTATTTACTTTTGCATTGTTAAGAGAAAAAAGAGAAGACTGTTAAAATGCCATTACGTTGTTTGTTACCTCTCTGGACTTATTAACACAAGCTATACAATTGTTCCATGCAAAATGTGGTAGCACTGAAGCCTGAGATTATCAAGTGCTCAGGAAGTAGATTAAGCATAAAGCTTATCTTTCTACTTGCCTGCACTTAGTTCTTATAATATTATCTTTATATAACATAAAAATGATGAACTATAAATGGGAAAACGTACAAAGACCTACAGTTATTTTAGTAGTGGGGTGCTCAGCAGGTATTCATTCTTCACTTTCTTTTGCACTTTTTGGTGTTTATTAAGAGTGATCTATTTCAAAACAATCATGATTTCAAAGGGCATATGACCAAGACAAGATAGACAACTGATAGCTGTGATTGCAAATTGAAGAAAACTAATGTGCCTCTATACAAAACTTGGTTTTATCATATTTTTTTCTCCCCACTTTGTTTCAGGTATTGAAAGATGGAGGGAAGTACTTTCTGGACACTCCCAATGAGGACTGTGGAAACTGGATGATGTTTGTCCGGCTAGCCCGGAACCAAGAAGAACAGACCCTTGTGGCTTATCAGCACTGCGGAGAAGTTTACTTCACAACAGTTAAGGTAGTTAAACCTACATTGCTCCACCTGTTATCCAAAAGGAAATTTGTAGACAAAGGTTCTGAAAGACTAGCCCTTTTACAATAACAGATTGATTATATTCTGTTAACTGGATCATTATATACATAGCACCTTTAATGTAATTTAATCTGTAGTAAAGCAAGAAGTGTATGGGGCTGGTCAGGAAAAGGTGTTGTGTACTTGCTATTAGTAGTAGTGAGGTAGTAGCTGGGTAGTGAAGAAACTGAGCTGAGGGAAGATAAAAATCATTCACGATGATAGTGTTTAAACTGAACACTGTTTAATGCCAGGTAGTTATATGGTGAGATTATTTGGCATTATTAGATTCAACAGTACTTCATTCTGGAAATAACAAATTCCTTTCTTTTATTACTCTTCTGGACACATATCGTTTTCTGAGCACATTACCCTGTGCTCAGCAACAGGGTGTTGAGTGAATCTTCATGTACAATTTTCCATGCTCTTTAAATCTGAAGACTTAACTGCAAAACTTAGAATACTGCAATGTTGCCATGAAATTATCAGTTTATGTTAGAGACTCTGAACTGCATCTTTGTCTGAAGAGAGAGAACAAGGTACTCTATGTTTATAAATGAAACTAGAACATACAGTCTTGGTTTTTATTGTTTAGGCCATTTTCTTAGGCAGAGTTGGTTTTAATCAGAAATAACTCTTTTGCACACTTGGGAAACAGAAATCTATCTGTTGAACATAATGCTTGTATTTCATTGTGAGCTACATTAAAATTTAAAAAAAAATAATATTAGTGAAAGTAGTTACTATGAATTAAAATCCAGCATTTCAGTTTCATATCCAAGATTGGCACATATTTCTGTGGCATAGAAGTATTTACATTTTTCCCCCATTTTTGTTTCTCCACCTGCACAGTGAGAAAAATATTTACTGTATATTGGTGATGAGAGAATAACGTTTCATACCGTTAAAGTCTTTTATAACAGTATGGAGTATAGTTGATTTGGGGATTAATATCTACATAATTATTAAGAAAAAAAAGAAAAAAGTGAAATAGTATATGCTACTCTGAGACATATTTAGACTATGTTTGAGATTCTCACGCAGTGTATATAATTTGAGATTTCAACTTGATTGGAAATGCATGATATGCTTGTAAAATTGACAGGATTACTAATACTGTGTTTGGGAAGCATGAACTTTTCCAAGAAGTAGTTGTTATAAACTGGTAACTTAAAATTTCCAGTATACTTTAAATTCTATTGAACCAGCTCTCTGCTGACTTCAGCACAACTCTACATACTGGCATTAATGGAGAGTTGCATCCTATACACTGACACAGAGTGTCTTAGGATGATGCATGTGTCTTGGAACCTTTGCTGTGCTGTCATAGGGCATTACTTGGGTTTTGTTTCTCCCAAGTCCCAGTATCATTCAGGGTGCTGTGGCATCCTGCAGATTTTGTCCTGGTCAATGAATGTGATGGCCTTGTGCTACACTTAGGCACACCCTGCTGGTCATGCTGTGAGGCTGGCTTAAGGCTGATTCTGAAGATTCTTTCTCAAGTCATTTTTAATAAAGTGTATTAAGATGGGAATAGGATTGAGTCCTTTCCCCACTGTTTTTGCAAAGAAATGGGATTTCAGTGACATGAATCTTCAGCTACTAAAGCAGACATGTAAGTGGCATCCTGACACCACCATTAGCTGACTTTCTGACCTAATGGCTGCAATCCTTAGAAATAAGTGCTTTAAAATGGTATAGAATTTTGAGGAAATAAAAATCATCCACGGTTGCTGCTGGTCTGATCCCAGGAGAGTTTCATGTGTGTGCTGCAGTTCTCTTATTGTCACTGGTGGCACAGAGTAAAGACAACTTGTAGTGGATTTGGATACTGATATTTAATGTCAGTTTTACTGAGATTAGAGCTTTTGAATTACTTGACTGTTTCACACACTGATGCACTTGTTCTCCCCTCAAAGTCACATTGACCAGCTCTCAGCCTCCCATAAAGGAGGTGGCTGCTGGTCTAGGAATGTTGGGCAGAAGTTGTGACAGTGTCACGCTGTGCTTTTTTTTTGTGGGTACCCATCTCAGCTGTCACAGGCCAAGCTCCCAGATGTCCTTAAACATTTGTTTCACAATGCATAATGAGCCCCTCCTAGTTAATGACTCGGCCTCATGTCCTTGATTGAGTGGAGAATTCAGGACAGACTATTTCTATTTAGGCCAGGTGTTATCAAAATGTACACCCAACCCATACTGGTTGTAGTTAGCAGGCAGGCTTGTGCTTGGCAGTTCAAAATTCAGTTTTCAGCATTAAACCCACAATTAACCCTTCACCTGTCTGCATTCACAATCTACATTGTCTTTTCCTTACCATGCTTATCCCACACCAATATTACAAAGTGAGGGGATTTTATGATGTCACATTTTCTGGAATAAGACTCATCTGCTCTCTTTCTGGGCTAGTTTGTTTGGTTGTGTTTTGGTTTTATGTGTTTTGTTGTGTTTATCTTAGTAAAACTAAAACTACAAGTACAGTGCAGTTTGGCTCTACCCCTTTTGCAACAATATTGATTTTTATTATAGATGAAGATAATTGTGTACAGGGTCAGGGAGTCATGTAAATTATGACCCCAAAGTTTAGTTTTCTCTTTTGCATTTAAAGAACTAATAGATCTTTAGCCAGTGAGTGTGATCACACCTCTCTTTTTCTGTTTGCTGTATTATTGACTGAAAGTATGTGTTGAAGAGGTCATAGTCCAGTCCAATGAGAGATTTGGACAAGCATGACTGGATGGGAGACTGCAGATTATGGGCTCCCTTAATCGTGTGGGGGCAGGCTTCAGTGGAAAGAGGACAGAGTTGCAATAAAGCACACTCACAGCATTAGAGCCAGCCCATGGAAGGTGCCAATTTGCCTTGCAGTCCACATATTGATCAGCTCTGCACCCATGTTCAGTGTGACATATCCAGGAGGCATCCAGGATCTTGTGCATTCACAACGCATTTTTCCTTTGCCTGTACCCTATAGTTAAGTGTTGTGTCCAGTGGGCTTCCAGACATCAAGGAATGGGCATGGGATATTGCTTGGAAACACTGCTGGATGTCTGAACATCACAGACAAATATATCTCACTGAGCAAAGGTTATGAGGACTGAGGCATCCCTCCTGCTACTGGGCCCCCCCACCCCAAATCTCTGTGCATACACAATTCCACTTTTAGAAACAGAAGGTGTCAAGCCCTAGTGGGCAGCAATGCTCAAAAGGTTCTTGAATCTTGAAACTAAGTTACCAATAATTTAAACACGGTCAAAAAATGCAGTTTGGGTAAGGACAAAACACTGCACACCCCTGCCCCTCCTATCTTTCTTATTGTTTGGTTTAGGAAAATTGACACAAGTAAACATGTGCTGTTTTTTTCCGTTCACAGCCAATTGAACCCCACACAGAATTGAAAGTATGGTATGCTGCCGATTATGCCAAATTTATGGAAGCTTCTGCAGTCTTCATTAAAGAAGAATCAGATGTCTCTCCTTTGCCTCCAGTAGCAGTAAGTACCCTTACTCTGCATTGAAGCCATGACTAGACATAGTAAATTATGGGGTTTTTACATGTTTTCTCTGTTTATATAACTCTAGTAATGCAAATGTAGGCCACAGGGTACTTTTACCAATTTTAGCCAAACAGCTACTCACAGAAAGGCTGTCCTTCCTGTCCTGTGTTTGTAATGCAGTGGAGCCATCAGATATAGTCAGAAGTAGGAGGCACTACTTGATGTGTTGGAAGGACTTAAGATGGGCACTAATTTTTGGATAACCAAGTTGTCCAGCCTCTAACTTTTTTCACCATTTCCCCTTCTTTTGCTCTGACTGATTGGCTGGAGTACCCACTAATTATTTCAGTCTTTCCTGTTCAGTAACCCTTCTGTTTTAATTCAAATACCTTCCCTCTGTATCATAGCAGAAATCCTTAAACTGATAGGAAAAGTTTGTTAAGTGTTGAAAACATGGCTGTGAAAATCAATACTTAATCTAGAAAGAATAGATTGAAACAAATGAACCAGGAATACAAATGAACAAGGAATTCATGTTCCAAGAAGGCTTGTGAGGCCTTCAGAATATTCCCCAGAAGGAAGGTGAGGGAGAGCCACAACATCGGACACCAGTCTTAGCAGAGAGGAGGGCTGAGTTTGGAAATAAAGATGGATTGGATACAGCCTCACCATGAGCAAACTAGCCCAAGAGCAAGGGAAAAGAAGGACAGTTTATCAGAAGCATACATAAAAGGTAGATGAAGTTGAGGAAGTACATGGCCATGCATTAATTGGAAGTACATTTCATCAGTGATTGGAGACTTTTGGAAATTGTTTTTCATCAGATTTTTTATAATATTAGTATTTAAAGTGAATTCAACTGAATCTAGTAGAGCTCTTATTTCCACAGAAGTAATACTTCCAAATAATACATTGTCTAAAAAAAAAAAAATTGTTTTAAGTCGGGATAGGCTTGAGATCCCTAAACCTAAGGTGTTTCTTATCCAGTTAATGGAAGTCTAATGCCAAATGTCAAGCTAAGTGAGGAAGTCTCTCCTGGAGCCATTGATCATTGCTGTGTGGTAAAGCACAGAGTCATCCCAAGACACAAAGAAATCTGTATGACTAAACTATGTTTTTGTACAGAAATCCATCCCATTTTTGTGTGGTTGGAATAGCAGATAAACTATGTCAGTCCAAGGATAAAGTACAATTTACAACTGTTTATTTCATAAATGCAACCAATGTAGAGACTTTGAAATTCAGTAAGCACAGATAAACAAATGTGTAGGACTCAGAACTGTTACAGTAAATGCTAAACAAAAAAATATAAACCAGTTTTTAGCCAACTTTACTTTTCCTTTGAGTTTTTACTCCTAGAGAGAATCTATTGCCAGTTGAACACCTAGGTGGTAGCACATGGAAGTAAATATAACCAGAGACAATGATGAGTCTTAGAAAAGCAGAGAAGATGTGTGAGAAGAATATGACCCTTCCTTAGAATGTTTAGTAAGAAAGACCTGTCTCTGTTCTCATTGCAGAAAGAGCCCGTAGACCCTTGGATATGTTCCAGCTGTGGAAGCACTTTTGCAACTTTTGCTCTGCTGGAATCTCACCAGTGTATCCATAAAGAACGAGTGCTTCCTACAAGGTTCAGACCACCAAATAAATTGGGACCTGTAAAAGCAAAAAACAAACTCAAAGGGAAACTGAGAGGGGCGTCATTAGGCAAAAGCATTACTCAATGCTTTGGGACCATTTCCTGTTCCTCTGCTGCAAAGTTCAGCTGTGCCAGCTCAGGAAGCACTTGTGGTGCTCTTGTAAGGTTTATACCTAAATGGAGAAATGGTCGGTCTTCACTGCTGAAGGGAAAAGAAGTGAAGCAGCCAGATAGTTATCCCTGCCGACTCTGTGGGAAGATATTTGATTCCATTGACAAGCTCACGGTCCACACTTATGTGCACAAAGGGGAGCGTCCCTACAAGTGTTCACAGCACGGATGCACAAAAGCCTTCATTTCCAAATATAAACTGCTCAGGTACACCTCTGAAGGCATTCATTTTCTGCTGGGGGGTGGTGGGGGAAAGACATCTTTTTCCTTTGGGATGTTCTAGTGACAGTTAATCCCTGAGGTCCAATTTTTATTATTACTGTTTTTGATAGAATTGGAAAAAACTAGTCTCCTTTAATTATGGTGGCTACTCAAAAGGATGATGTTGAGCAGTTTTAAGCTACTCTACGCTTTTTGATTAACAACTTCCTCCCCCCCACAAAATTTAGGCTTTTACTAATAACCTGAGTATTTGTGAGAATGCCTCCCTTCGAGAATTAGTGTGTTTTCAAGTTGAGGCTGCAAGAGTTAATGTACTAGAATAAATGTGAACATAAATAACTTTTTTTGTGTCTGTGTTTTGTTTTTTTTTTTTCTCTTAGGCACTCGGCCACTCATTCTCCACAGAAATCTCACCAGTGTGGCTACTGTGAAAAGACCTTTCACAGGAAAGACCATCTAAAGAATCACCTTCAGACTCATGACCCCAACAAGATGGCCTTCAAGTGTGAAGAGTGTGGCAAGAAGTACAACACCAAGCTAGGCTATAAGAGACACTTGGCTCTTCATGCTGCCACCAGCGGGGACCTCACCTGCAGGGTGTGTGCCCAGGAGTTTGGTGGTACTGAGGTTCTGTTGGAACACCTCAAAAGTCATGCAGGGAAGCCGACTGGCAACATGAAGGAAAAGAAGCATAAGTGTGACCACTGTGAGCGTCACTTCTATACCCGTAAAGATGTGCGACGTCACATGGTGGTTCACACAGGCTGCAAAGACTTCCTGTGCCAGTTCTGTGCCCAAAGGTTTGGGCGGAAGGACCACTTGACACGCCATACTAGGAAGACTCATCCGCAGGAATTGCTGAAGAGCAGGTTGCAGAATGGTGACTCAGTGGGTCTCCTTGACCAGCTCTTTTCATACAGACTGAAGGAAGATGCCAACATGCTGTCCCCTCTTCCTGAAAGGGTCCCTGTGCCAAATGGGATTGTGAATAGTTCAGAAACAGAGGAATACAACTGTTCACATCTTCATTCCCAGTCAAGCTTACAAACTGCTCTTCCTCTTGAGTCTTCTCCTCACTTGCAAAGGATGGGCTGTGCAGACAGCCTCCCAGCTGTCCCTCCCACACCATGTTCAGCAGCTGTCCCTATCAACCTGAACCTTCATCAGCCTAACAAATATGACCTTAGTTCTACCTCGTTTGCCGCAGGATCCCTCAAGAATCTACCGATAAAAGTGGATGTTAAAGGTTACAATGTGCATCTTCTCGAGGACCTGCTGTTACCAGAACCTCAGTCTCTCCACAAAATCAGTATAGAAGAAGCTTCCTCAGGGCCCGTAGGGGATACTAACAAGTACCCAGTGCACAAAGAGACAGAGGCAGCAGCTGAAACTGCAAGCCTGCCTTTCATGGATCTCACTCATGTGATGGGTTTCTGGCAGCTCCCACCAGGTGACAACCAGAACACTACTGGGGACATCACAATGGCGTTTGGCTCAGAGGAGCCATCACACAGGCTGAATGGCCTTGGCCAACAGCAAGGTTTTCAGCTAGCAACTGGTGGGATGGCCATAAACCAGCTGCATCATCTTCCTCGCTCCTTTCCATCCACTACAAATTCTGTAACATTGCCTCACTTTCACCATGCCTTCAAGTAACCACCCTCCTGTGTGGGTTTTTTCCCTTTGTTTTTTTTTTTTTCTTTGTTTTTTTTTTAAGACTGTGCTTCTTACTAAAATCTGTTTGGACTGGGGTGTTTTTGTTTTGTTTTGTTTTGAAGAAGAACTGCCCCAGATGTTTTCAAAGCACATTATGAACATGGTAGTTAAATTCAGGATGTTAATAAACAAGAAATTCTATTTTTCATACTATTAGTTTTTTAGCATATGACAGCAGTAGAACTAACATATTTCCCTCAGCTCCCTCTATATTTTTTTTTCTTTTCATGCAAACAATTGAATAAATATCTTCAGTGACAGCAAAGTGTGACAACAGGCACAATAAAACTATGGCTACTGCAATAGGAAAAATATGGTTAGGGTGAATGGGAAGTGGGGGGAAATCACAAAGAAATCAAGTTAGTGAGCCATAAATCACAGCAAATTTGTACACATGGCAAATGTAACAAATGATTTATCAGCATCGGTTAGATTTCTGTTAAGCACTTAATTAATGAACTTTATTAATCCTTAATTTAAATCAGAATCATTCCAAGAGTAAACCTTATGTCCTTGTTTCACTTTCTTCAATGAAGATCATCACTATTATGATTATGTTAAACTAGATTTTGCTTTCTGGCAGGCAGTTCAGCTGTGTGTCTTTTTCCTAGAGCTGGAAATAACTACCACTTCTTAACGATTGTGTAAGAACTGCTGTCTTGGATACATGCAGTTTTCAGAATGGGAAGTGAATTGTCTCAAGTTAGAACAAAACATTAATTTTCGTTTGGAGCTGGATCTGTCAAGACATCAGACACTTCTCTCTCTCTCTTTCTAGTTAAGCACTTGAGCATTTGCTTAAATTTAAGCTTATGTTATCCTGTTGGGTCAACATCTTTATTAATTCAACACTTAATAAAAAATAATGCATCCTACCTAAGGGGCCTTTATTCACCTTTTGTTGATAAAAGTGGCCATTGTTTAGTCTGGGAAATGATTAATAATTGTAACCATCTGAAAATGGGCTTTCACAGAAATCCAACCCTGGCCCAGGGCAGCTTGCGCCCAGGAGGAGCCTCTGTGGAGCCAAGGGCAGATCCATGCACAGAGGGGCTGTGGGTGGTGAGCTAACACTGGGCTCAGTTCAGAACCAGGTTCTGAACCTGCCTTACACATGCCAACTGAAATTAGCGGGTCTGATAATGGTTGAGGCCATTTTACTCATGGGAGTTCTGCTCAGAAACATTGGAAGTGCTGCAGCTGGACTTCAGCCTTCGTTTCTTGCAGACTAGAACCATGGGGACTTCTCTTTTTTTCCTGGGGTGAATTGTCCACGAACAGTTCCTGTGGACAGTGTGTTGGTGTGACGGTCCTATCACCTGATGTATGAACAAGCAGAAATTGTTAAGATCACATTTTCCAGTAGATGACATTACTAAACAAAGAAACAAACTCTTCACAATTTAGTTTGTTGCCTAACTCATAATTACAAATAACAATCAAGGTTTTAGTGGGTGGCTCAGTTACTAATGGATTTTGTTTCATCTAAAACAGACACAGAATTTCTGAATCTGAGTAAATTCTCAAATCCCAAGAGCTACTCTTCCATTAAATCCAAAAAGAGTTCATAGTACCTAATAGCCATAAGTAATATAACATGGAGCAAGCATATTCTCCACTCCCTCATTAATCACAGAAATATTTCTGGAGAGCTTCAAATAAAAAATAATTTTAAAATTATTGCTGTTTTGCTGTTAGTGAGCTGTATTTCATTGTAGTTGTACAATGTAATTAAATATTCTTACAAGTTGATCGGTACTCGGATTAAGGATAGTCTTATTGTAGCTCCTGAAATAACATGTTCTCTAGATGCAGTGCTGAGGAGTATTTTTTGTTATAAAAATTTTTGTCATAAGACAAACCAAAAGGAATTTTAAAGTAATTCCTGTAATGGCAACAGGAGAAGGCGAATAGGTACTGCACAGTCATGTCTAGTGAGTAGTTATTTAAATTATGAGTTCCAGAGTGGGAAAAGATTGCAGTGTTATATGCACATTCTCCAGCTTGGCTTGTATTTTCATCTGGACTTGGAAAAGTGTGTGTGTGTATATTCACTTAACTGTATTTTTTTCCTTGTTTGCGTAAATTGTGTTCACTTGGCTTCAAGCAGGCTTATGTACTTGTAGAAAACCCCAAAAAACTAAACTACAACAAAAAAGTCTTTGCTACAAAAAAATCTGTAGCACTGCCTGATCATACACATTTTGTCATTTTGGTTTGTGCTTTTAGAAGAGGTGTCAGTAATTACTGAAATACTTGTCCTTGAATGTGATGTTAACAAGAAAACATTATGCAGACACTGAGCACATTCTTCCAGCTGCTCTTTCAGCCCTGGAGCAAGGTACGTGAGCTCTGGACTGCCAAGAAAGGTGTTGCTGCCTGATCTCAGCTTCTACCAAAATATGGAAAGATGATAAGCATTTTTCAGCAATGCATATGTAACTACAGATTAAAGGCTGTCTCATTAAAATAAAAAGAAAATAGCCACTTTTGAAGAATTTAAAAACACAGCAATGGTGTCTGCAAGTAGAGCACAGAAGCAAAAAACTTAAATGTGCAATGCTGCTTAAACCCATCAGCCCATTCAATTTTCTTTTTCCAGATTCTTGACATCATAAATGTAGGAGAAGCTGATGAGGTCCCATGACAAAGAAAGGCAAGTTATTTTAAAAAGTTATGTTGTCAAAAAAAATTGTTTTGTTTAAAATTCTCGTAACTCAAGAGACTTGAGATGCCCCCAAGTCATCTAATACCATAAGTGGGACTGGACTTTCTGAGTGTTTTTAGGGAGACCTCTGTGCACATTTCTCAGAGGCCCTCAGTAGGTGAGGCTCAAGCTGCAGGACACCTCTCTGGTGGCACTGCCTTTGGCTCACGCAGGGCTGTGACAGCACCAGTGTGGGGAGAGGCAGCCCCACATCCACTGTGGGTATCGTGGAGGAAGGCAGCAGCCCAAGCGCTGACCACTCCTCCCTCTCTGGCACAGCCCATTCCTCCTCCAAATGGGAGAAGTGGATGTAAGGGCAGAGAACTGCCATGGAGAAGGTGGGATAGGCCATGGCATATCAGGTAAGAGATTTGGATATCTTAGGATATTTTACCTCACATTCAAATAGAGATAAAAACACTCTTTTATCTGAACTCTGCTTGAAAACCTGTAGAAGCAGAGCATTATGTGATAAATAAACACAATTACTATAATCAAATCATACTGTAAATGAACAAAATTTAGTAAACATTTGGCCTCATAAAAAAAGTATTCTTTTTATGGAAGAAGGAATAAAAGACCTGAACCTGCTGAAATAATGTCATGAAGCTAGAATTACACTACATGGAAGAAAAGACTGCATCCTCTATGTAAACACAAATAGACCTATTGCTAAATTCCCCTTCTCTATCAGAAACCAATCTAATTTCTTTTTCCTTCAGTTTTATTTATCAACTTCCCCTGTTGGAACTTTCCATTTTCTTAGTCAATGGGTTGCTGTTAGTCTCAGAGAGTGTTTCATAGCCAGTCTGAACTGGGGTGATACATTCCATATATTAATGATTGGTTTATTTCTAGTGGAATGTTTAAAATGCTTTTCCTCAATACACCATTCCTGCCCTTATAGGTATATATATATTTTTGTAAGATACTGGAAACTAAGGAAATCCTACACTTCTATACACAGACAGAAAACAGTGGGGACACACGCACAACAACAAATACATAAAACTTGCTCTAAATTTGAGGGTTCAATTATTTGGTTGTTAAAGAAAGCAGCTGTGGTAACATTGAACACTATAGTTTGGAATGGGTTTGGGGTTTTTTCCCTCTTCCTCCTGGACTGAAAGAAAGGATAAGCAGCACTGCTTTAATATACTGGGGCTACTGTCATGCCTGCTTTTTCTAGTTCTAGGAGTTACAGTTGCTTCAGTGTTATCCTTTCTGTATCCATCTAATAATTATTAACTAGAGTCTAACTAGTTTAATTAAACTGTTTAAAATACGATATTTATTATTGCTGTGTCCAACTAATTTTCATCTTCATTTATTATTGAGCATTTAATAGGTAAGAAAATTCCTTATGGATTTTAATTGAAAGCCTTACTGAAAATTTTTGGGCTAAAAAGCCCCTACCTTGTCGCATCACTGAAAGTTTATGGAAGGTGATCCAAGGCTGAGAGTTGATCAAGTGATGAAAAAAAATAAGAAGGGCAATTCCTCTACATTTCTGTTTTGTTGATCAATTTTTAAAAGCAATTAATGTGTTTAATACAAGAATGAGATTTGGTCTTAGTCTGAACTCAAAGTGCTTTGAAGAGATGCACAGCATACATGGCCATTTGTCATATATCAATCACTCTAATTTATTGTTTACTGGAAGATTCTGTTAAATATTCACATGAAGTTCCACAATGTTCACTTGTCTTGTTCAATATATCAAAGCATTAGGGGAAAGAAAAAGAAAATCACGTGGTACTGGATCTTCCTACATTTTCTTAAAACTGTTGAATAAACTGCTGGTAATGTCCACCCACTAGGCAATCATTTAATTAAATCTTGGCAACGGATACAAATAATTTCACAACTTTTTAAACAGGATAGCATAATAAGATATGTAGCCTAGAGGAAAAAACCCAACCAAACCTGAGCCAATTAATTGCAGTTTTCTTATTTTATTGGGTAGTTGTAGCATTTCAGGGTGAAGTGGTGCTGAAAAATTGGGTTGCTTAAGATCTTCCATAATGTGTCAGCAGAAAGCCTTAACACATCCTTGCCAGCCAGTCACTCTTATCTTCTGTTGTCTGCTTGTGACCTAAAAGCAGCAACAAGCCATACACTTGTTATTTCTTATTATAAAAAGAGATTTTATATATTACTTTATTTTCTCCAAGAAGATTAAACCTGTATTCATGGGAAGGTGATGGAGCAGCTCATCCTGGAAACCATTTCCAGGCATGTTAAGGATGAGACCATTCATTTGTACCAC